TTCAAGTAAATGTTTACTATGTTTTGAAAAGGAAGATGAAGAGGGCTATGCAACCCACCCCTGATGATTTTATGAGCTGATGCATGTACACATTACTGAAAAAAAAAATGGATTTCCTGCACTAAAAACAGTGGTAATTCCTTTGCAAAGATACTAACTTATTTAAATCATGTATCTCAATGTGTGACATTAAACTACTGGGTTTTTTTTTAAATTACTCTTTTCCTGAAATATTTGGATTGTCTTCAACATGGATATTGAAGTAAGTCAAACTGATCTCAAATAACTAACCTCTTGCACCCACATTACTCATACCAAATATGCAATAGTAAAAGTCTGAATGTGAACAGTCTAAAAGTTTACATATTAAGCTTTTGATGTGTTGGATATTGAATGAAATTTCCAAACCAATAATAATGATTAATGACATGATAGATTTCAGTCCAGACTTATAATATATCTTCTAAATGTTTGAAAAATTGCTGTACTAATATTGTACATACATTTACTAAATGACTGAAAAAAGTTCAAACATATTTCCTCACCATCATCAATAACTGAATATAATCAACATTTTTGCTACACATCTGCATGTACTATTTATCCAGTACAACATGCTGTAGATATGATATAATTCTAAGAAAATGATAATCAGGTTATGCTGTATGTTTATGTTGATGTAGCCTTAGGGACCGTTTATAATTTATGCCTGGGTGGGGTGGGGTGGGTGTGGGTGATGATGATGATGATGATGATGATTTTTATGGAGAAGCAGGTACAATGGGACCCCTAAAATTTACGTGCATTACAAAGTAAGTGACAACCCCACCCCACCCCACCCATGTCATGTCATGTACAAAATCAATGACCCCCCTTCCCATAATTTTGAAGCATGATTATTTAATATTTTTTACTTACAAAATTGCTGATCACCCCAGTACATGTGTACAAAATTGCTGACCCCCCATACCTCCCCAGAACAAAATGGGTGACACCCCCCACACACCCCTTAAAATCATCATCACCACCCTAGCCGTAAATTATGAACAGTGCCTTATCATCTGACTTTTGTAAATACATGTATGTTTTAAGAGGGATTTATCTATGCCACCAAAATAAGTGCCATGGCAACCAAACCAAGAAAACATCATCATTATTTTCTTTTAAGTTTGTATTTTTTTTCGAAATTTGGAGGAATTATTGCATTCCATGTAAAAGTGTGAAACTGCCCTCGACCATTCTCTATTTTTGTTATTACGTTCTGTCACCTCAAGAAAAGCATATAATTGGTTATCATTGGTCTAAACTAATACTACAAATATCAGAGAATTTGTAATTCCAGTAAAAGAATTTTGATGCCATTGGCTTTAGATCTGGCACTGCATATCAGCATTTAGGCAAGTTTAGATAAATCCCTGTAAATAAATATGTTAATCATAGAACAAACAAAGTGGGATTAGAGCCTGTATGTTAAGTATAGTATACTAGATAGAGCCAGTATGTTAAGTATAGTATACTAGATAGAGCCAGTATGTTAAGTATAGTATAGGGGCGGTGGGGTAGCCTAGTGGTTAAAGCGTTGGTTTGTCACGCCGAAGACCCGGGTTCGAATCCCCACATGGGTACAATGTGTGAAGCCCATTTCTGGTGTCCCCAGCCGTGATGTTGCTGGAATATTGCTAAAAGCGGCGTAAAACCAAACTCAGTCAGTCAGTCTGTCTGTAAGTATAGTATACTAGATAGAGCCAGTACATGGAACACATATACTAGATAGAGTTATTACTATCATGAGGGAGTTAACCTAATAAAGAAAGAATAGAAAAACAACTAAAAAATAACCCACGCTACTTTTACTGTTCAACCTTTGCCAAAGACCTCACCTAACTAGTTTTGTTCCATGCAATATAGTATACCTAGGAGAGACAGAATATGGTTTGTATCCAAACTGCATTAAAATAGCAGTATTCTTCTGTCAGTTCCAAAAAGACCACATGAAGACAACTCTTTCTTATTATTTGTTTAAGAATTTTACCAACCAGAGTAGAAAATAATATAGACATACAACAAAAACAACTTCCTGTCAAATACAAATACAAATTGTAAAAAAATGAGGCATACAAAAAAAATTCAATCATTTTAGTTCAACCAAACTAATTGACTTGGAAACAATGTTCAAACTATTTACTGTACTAGTAAGTGAGTGAGTGAGTGAGGTTCTATGCCGCTTTTAGTGATATTGCAGCAAGATCAAAGCGGGGGACACCAGAAATGGGCTTCACACACTGTAGGGGAATCAAACCCAAGTCTTAAGCACGCTGAGGGAACGCTTTAACCATTAGGCTACCCCACCACCCCTTTATTGTACTAAAAAATGTGACAATTTTTTTTCATCTTGAACAGGAAGCAAACTGGTTTTATTAATACATCATTAAGATCTTCTGAAGTGACGTGTTACATCTGCATGTCCGTCACAAGCCAACCACATTAATTTAACATGGCATCAATCATACAGTATAGACCAACATCATTCCATTTTATTATTTACTCTGTGTTGAGATGTATATATAGAATAGTATTGTCTAAGTGTAGATGAGATTTACCCTATTATTCCAGCCTGTGTAGTATGTAACAGAATACATATACTACTCAAATTAAGTTGAGGACCACCTGATTCTTTCATTTTATTTGATCTATCATGCCATATCATATCTATAGTTGTATGAAAGAATTTGGTTCAAAACCTGTTTAATACATACATGACTGCTGTTGGTGCCATGACAGGATAACCAAAGTAAGATGGAACAATCATGTGGTTCTTCACTGTTTTTGTGTAGTATACCGTATATGACCGACTATAAGTCGGATCCGACTATAAGTCGGGCCCCTTTCTCAACCCTCTAAATTCTTGCCAAAACCATGTAACTCAAGTATAAGTCGGCCCCTTTCCCCGTACGAATCGGTATCGCTGCCTCAATCTTCACGCTTGGACACGATGTTTAATGCGAAAATAAATGCATGAAGCATTTTTGTCACAGGTCAAAACCTAGCACGATACGTCAAATAAATCCCATAACTTATGTATAGGTAGCGAGTTCTTGCTTAATATGTTCAGAATAGCATTATTTTACCCAAAACTTTCGTCTAAATCTAAAGGTTTTCGTTTACGAGGACGGTATCCATTGCCGTAATATGATTTGCTGCCTTAGGTCACGTGTCTGGTTTTGACCAATCACGACCCTTATAGCAGACTGTGGCGAATTTTTTGGGTAGATTAATGAACTCAAGTATAAGTCGGGTCTGATTTTTTACCTACATTTTCTGGTATCAAATTTCCGACTTATAGTCGGTCATATACGGTACATGTATGAGCTATTATGTCATTATTCCATTGAGTAGCATCAAACTGAGAATCATCAACATACAACTTAGAAAGAACATACCAATCATGTTATTTCTTTATGACTTCTACATCACTTCATGTCACATATTTCTTTCTATAAACAGCTGTTTGTAATAAAAAAATAGTTGAACTTACTTTTGTTTTAATAATTTTATCGCACTGTCAGGATTTAATGATGGATGTTGATCACTTGTTTGCTTTATAATACATCACAGTGAAATATTTCACAAAGTAAGTTGATCATCACGTGTGTCTTGGAATAACATTGAAAGGGTCATAGTAGGGTAATAGACTAAGAGATACGTACCCCTGGTAGCCTTCTGTTTACAGATATGAACCCTAGTGGAAACTGTGATGCAGAAATATCATGTGGTGCAGCATGGTGGTGCGGTGGGATGCGGTGCGGTGCGGTGCGGTGCGGTGCGGTGCGGTGCGGTCGCGGTGCGGTGGTGCGGTGCGGTGCGCGATGCGGTGCGGTCGCGGTCGCGGTGCGATGCGGTGCGGTGCGGTGCGGTGCGGTCGGGTGCGGTGCGGTGCGGTCGCGGTGCGGTGATGCGGTCGCGGTGCGCGCGATGCGATGCGATCGCGATGCGCGAGAGAGTTTAGTTTTACGCCGCTTTTAGCAATATTCCAGCAATATCACGGCGGGGGACACCAGAAATGGACTTCACACATTGTACCCATGTGGGGAATCGAACCCGGGTATTCAGCGTGATGAGCAAACTCTTTAACCACTAGGCAACCCCACCGCCCGCGAGGCGAGGTGAGGTGAGTTGAGTTGATATTAGGTGATGTGATGTGATGTGATGTGATGTGATGTGATGTGATGTGATGTGATGTGATGTGATGTGATGTGATGTGATGTGATGTGATGTGATGTGATGTGATGTGTGATGTGATGTGATGTGATGTGAGGTGAGGTGAGGTGAGGTGAGGTGAGAACACTGCACCTATATACCAATGTCCAAGCATATGTGTGTTAAGTGCTTGTGCTTGTTTTACAGTGTAGTCCACTGACATGCCACACCACATTTATATCATGAGGCCCCAGTCAGACACATTACACTGACGCCAAGACATGAATGCTGAGCACCAGACAGGGAAATAAAAAGTACCATTTTTAACTTAATAGCCAGGGATTGAACCACTGACCACTCTGTGTGGACACTCCACTACACCACAGAGGAGGTGTACAGAAATTACAAGCTGACCACTGCACAGCAAAAAAAGGGACTGACGGGTCCATGGTGAAGCCACTGTAACCCTACTTGTTCTTGTGGGTATCCCTGGGAAGATCCACTGCACTACTTTACTAGAGTTAAACATGGACGTAGGAACTGCATAAGTCTACTCACAAACTTGACTGGTTAAAAAAATAGTACAAATTTCAACTCCTTTACTCACAGGAATGACAAGTCTTTATGGACGATCAACTTCTTTATTGTGTGATAGCAACATTTCGCATCTTGCTTGTAAACGGTATAAGTATCTATACCGAAACGTCGCTATCATACAATAAAGAAGTTGATCATCCATAAAGACTTGTCATTCCTATTACTTGCAACTTCTAGAATGCCTCTCAAACAGTTCCTTTACTCACTTCTGTTTACTGTCCTGAGTGTAGCTGTCATTCAGATCAATGTCGTCTGCTGCTGGTATCCCATCAGCCATCTCTCCCAGCTCTTCTTCTTCCTGTTCCATGTGTGCCTTCAGTATTGCTACAAGATCCTTGTGCTTCTTGGACTTTTCATGATTTGCATACCTAGGTCAGAAAGTAGGTCAAATCTTGTAACTTGATCATTTTTCAAAATGTTTTTAAGTAAAATTCAAATGTGTTTAGTTTCAAATCAAACAAAAATTAACAGATCAATAGAATGACCACAACATGGCCTGACCTTTATAGAAGCTAGAGTGAGTGAGTGAGTAAGTATGGTTTTATGTCACTTTTACCAACATTTCCAGCAATATCACAGCGGGGACACCAGAAATGGGCTTCACACACTGTACCTATGTGGGGAATCAAACCTTGTCTACGGCATGAGAGGCGAACACTTTAACCACTAGGCTACCCCATCCTTACACCAACTAGACTGACTGACTGAGTTTGGTTTTACGCTGCTTTTAGCAATATTCCAGCAACATCACGGCGGGGAACACCAGAAATGGGCTTCACACATTGTACCCATGTGGGGATCTTCTTCGCAAAATAACGCTTTAACCACTAGGCTACCCCACCGCCCCTTCACCAACTAGAAAAAACACTGGAACAATTAGATCTTCTGCAACACTTGTCTCAAGTACCTCCCCACACAAACTGTCCAAAAATGACAGTAACACAGACTCAAATGTAACATACCCACCGAGTCAGTCATTAAAATGTTTGCATTGTCAAACACTTATCATCAGTAAGCAAGTGTATCATGCCCCATTCAAACATATGATACCTTTTCACCACAATGTCATTTACACATCTCTCAAGCAGGATTTCTCTTGTAATTAAGTGTAATCTGATTGGATACCTATTTTTAGCATTGTGTACCTCTAGCACGGTTCACAATGAAGACATGTTTACAAATGGGAATGGGGTGTTTATCAATACAGAACTGATACATAATACACTGGGTGAGTAAAGATGAATACTTCTTTCAAGTTAAAAAACTGGCAGACTTACGCCTTTTCACTTTTGAAAGCTTTATTGCAGGCGATACAGAACAGGTCGTCATAGTAGTCCTCTTCTTCTTCCTCCTCCAAAATGGGGACATCATCACCCTCAGCAGGGACACCTTCAACATCATCATCATCATCAATAGTATATATTCTCTCTACTTACAACCTGATGAAGTGATGTCACAATTTACCTGTCTATGCATACAACCTTTCGTCCCGTGTGGGAGTAACCACGGATGTCTGAATTTCGGACCTTGTCCATGACATGAGGTTATCACCATAAACAAAGTGGATCCCTCCACGCCCTGTACACATGCATCACCAAATGTCACAGAGTAGGAGGCAGGTTGGAGGCGAGATCTGCACACCTTAACATGTACAAGCACTGCGGAGAGTTCAACACAACACAAGTTAGAAACTATAGGGCCCGTAAGTAGGTCACGGCACTTTGTGAGACCAGTGACAAACAACGTACACTTGGTCCGGTCTAGTAAAGTCATATTTGGAGGTCGCACAATTTGGAACCAGAACTGGTTCTTGAATATATGCTTGTCACCGGAAATCTGAAACCGAAGTAAGGTGGGCCCCCGCCTCGTATCTCAATTGGTAAGTTGGAGCTGGGAACCAAGCTTAGTACCAGAAGTAGTGCCCCACGAGATTGACAGGCCCTATTGTTACGTCAAACACAGACATGGACAAAGGGAGATAACTCTTGAAAGAAAAGATGTAATTTCACAGGGGATATCTGAAAGAAGACTTCACAAATCTAAAAGTCTTTCATACAGAACCTTAAACAAATATACCCAATACCCATGATGGGTGATAAGAATATTTTGCTTGTGTTGAGAATTTCAAGGCAATTACAGCTCTGCAGATTTGTTTAGTCTGAAAATGAAGAAAGTCCCTGGGCTACTTTTTCATTATATTTTATGAACATAATTTACGAACTGTTTTTTTCTATAAAATATGTTCATTTCAGAGACTAGATGTTAGTCTACAAAGCTAACACAATTTGAACTTATTTTGACAATTGAAAAAATACATATGCAAGTGTGGCAGCTTACTTGCAAGAACTAATCTACATGTCGAATACGTTGAAGGATATATGTAGAGCAACAACCCAAATAATTGGGGTTTAGAAGTAAACCAGTACTAACCTTCCCTTCCCCCCTCCTCATCTCGCTCCGCTCCAAAGTGCTCGTCTACACTGGCCTCCAGCTGACGGAGGTCATCCTCCAGGGCCGACATGGCAGACCAGCCTGTTTCCTTGTAGTTCTCCATCCGCCTGACATCAAACAGTCAATAATTAATGTGGTTGGCTGCAGTGATGTAGTAAATTAGTTTTAGTGATACTTTTTTTATCATAGCATGCCAGCTTAATGTGGGGTTGGGTTGGAAGGCAGGATGGTGGAAGGATGTTTTGTTTATTGTTTAATGCTGCACTGAGCAATATGACAGCAGTCCAGACCAGACAATCCAGTGATTGACATCATGAACAATGTTCCAGCTATATGATAGTGGTCTGTAATAATGACATGCATCAACTCTGTGAACCTGACCACTCAATCCCGTTAGTTGTCTCATAGGACAAGCATGGGTTGCTCAAGACTAATTCCAACCTGGATCTTCATGGGTCAGGTATCCCTAAGTAACGCAGGTTCATATACTGACACCCGTGAAGGTCCGGGTTAGAATGAACCTTCAGTAACCCATGCTTGTCGTAAGAGGCGACTAACGGGATTGGGTGGTCAGGCTCGCTGACTTGGTTGACACATGTCATCAGTTCCCAATTGCGCAGATCGATGCTCATGCTGTTGATCACTGGATTATCTTGTACAGATTTATTTACAGACCGCCACCATATAGCTGGAATATTGCTGAGTGCAGCGTAAAACTAAACTCAGTCACTCATGAGTGAGTCAGTCAGTCAGTTTGGTTTTACGACACTTTTAGCACTATTCCAGCAATATCACGACAGGGGACACCAGAAATGGGCTTCACACATTGTACCCATGTAGGGAATCGAACCCGGGTCTTCAGTGTGACGAGTGAATGCATTAACCACTAGGCTAACCCAACCACCACGCACGCACGCACGCGATACGCACGCATACGCCGCATGCGCGCGCGCGCGCGCGCGACGCGCGCGCCTGCCGCGCCGCGCCGCGCCGCGCGCGCGACGCGACGCCTTGCGCACGCCGCGCGACGCGACGCACGCACGCACGCACGCGCACGCACACACACACACACACACACACCACGACCAGTTAACTACCCTATTGTATAAGGTCGAATCCAGGAATTCAAACCAAGATCTGTGGAACATGTTAGTGATAAGGGACAGAACTCAGTAAAACGTACCATCGCACATTAGAAGAACGACTGATCCAACCACTACTCCCCAGTACTGACCTGTCGACAATACTAGCATAAGTGCTATTTGTGTAAAGTTCACATGTCAGATAGTATGGGCCCATTTATTGTTTGTTGTTTAATGTCATACTAAGCAAATTCCAAATAAATGAGAGCTGCCTGAAAATAATTGATACAATGTTCAAGTGATTCACCGAGTCTGACTTCCTGATCCGTCAGGGTACAATGCTCAACTGATTCACCGAGTCTGACTTCCTGATCCGTCAGGGTACAATTCTCAACTGATGCACCGAGTCTGACTTCTTAATCCGACAATGCTCAACTGATTCAATCCTTCTTAATCCGTCAGGGTACAATGCTCAACTGATTCACCGAGTCTGACTTCTTAATCCGTCAGGGTACAATGCTCAACTGATTCACCGAGTCTGACTTCCTGATCCATCATGGTACAATGCTAAACTGATTCACCGAGTCTGACTTCCTGATCCATCAGGGTACAATGTTTAACTGATTCACCGAGTCTGACTTCCTGATCCATCAGGGTACAATGCTCAACTGATTCACCGAGTCTGACTTCCTGATCCGTCAGGGTACAATGTTTAACTGATTCACCGAGTCTGACTTCCTGATCCGTCAGGGTACAATGCTCAACTGATTCACCAAGTCTGACTTCCTGATCCATCAGGGTACAATGCTCAACTGATTCACCGAGTCTGACTTCCTGATCCGTCAGGGTACAATGTTTAACTGATTCACCAAGTCTGACTTCCTGATCCATCAGGGTACAATGCTCAACTGATTCACCGAGTCTGACTTCCTGATCCATCAGGGGTACAATGCTCAACTGATTCACCGAGTCTGACTTCCTGATCCGTCAGGGTACAATGCTCAACTGATTCACGAGTCTGACTTCCTGATCCATCATGGTACAATGCTAAACTGATTCACCGAGTCTGACTTCCTGATCCATCAGGGTACAATGTTTAACTGATTCACCGAGTCTGACTTCCTGATCCGTCAGGGTACAATGCTCAACTGATTCACCGAGTCTGACTTCCTGATCCGTCAGGGTACAATGCTCAACTGATTCACGAGTCTGACTTCTGATCCATCACAATGCTCAACTGATTCACCGAGTCTGACTTCCTGATCTGTCAGGGTACAATGCTAAACTGATTCACCGAGTCTGACTTCCTGATCCATCAGGGTACAATGCTCAACTGATTCACCGAGTCTGACTTCCTGATCCGTCAGGGTACAATGCTCAACTGATTCACCGAGTCTGACTTCCTGATCCGTCAGGGTACAATGCTCAACTGATTCACCGAGTCTGACTTCCTGATCTGTCAGGGTACAATGTTTAACTGATTCACCGAGTCTGACTTCCTGATCCATTCAGTCACAAGCATAAGTTGCTGTGGGCAAGTCTAACCCAGAATACCAATAAGAATGGGAACTATACATAGTGGACTCCCTCTAAACCAACATTCCCTGTGAACCGACATATTTATTTGGTCCTGAATTTGTCCCTATATAAAACCATATAAGAACCTCCCTCTAATCCGATATCCGTCTAATCCTAATTCAGACACTCAAATCCGGTCCAAAAACATGTTTTTAGTGCAAATTGACTCTCTCTATACTGACATTTTAATTTCACAAGGAATTGCATCAGCCAAAACATAATGTGTATTTAGCAATCAACACGCTTGTATGAGAGGTAACCTGCCAAGGTGTAATACTATTACGCCTGATGTTGATTACCTGCTAATTACTGACCAACGTCTAATATGCCAATCAAATAGATAATTACTTGTTCAGTGGATTCATCGACTGGTGAAATCACATGTTAAGTGCTTGTCATGAGTTTCTAAAAACTCCTTCTAAACCGACATCCCTCTAAATCGACATTTTTCACTGGTCCCGTGTAATTCATCATTAGGACCTACTTCTTCCTCTCCAGCAGCTCTTTCCCCTGCTGTTCCTTAGTTTTGCGAGCTATTTCCTCCGCTCTCTCCTCCAGCCGTTTCTGTAGCAAGAATCATACAAACGTCACAGTCATTTCAGTTTACAAACTAACATTACAGTTAGGATCATGTCTCTAATTTCTATTTGTCTGTATAAGCATGCTGAGTGAAGAAATCTACAACAAGCATATTCCTGCTTCTTCAAAATGAGTGAAAACTGCTGCATTTATGGTATATACATTTTGGAGAAATGTTTCAACAAGGATGTCCTGTTTTTCAATGTTGCTGTTATTTCCTGATCTCCAAGGCAACATAACCAACTTGTAATAATAATAAGTAACTTCTTATTCCTGCACACAAAATTACTTACAAGGCATTTCACAGGAATACTACAAATGTATCATCTAATTGTTTGCACAACAAACAAACATGACAGACTAGTATCCTATTTTCAGCCAGTTTCATTAACATCAGATCTACCTACCACTACACAAAAGCTCTAAGAAGATTAAGTGAGCACTAAGATCTGATCTTAATAGAATTAGTTTCCTCCCAGGTGTATTAAACTCCATGACCAAGATTTTCGAAGATCTCTTAGCACTAAGATAGTCGTAAGTTAATGTTAATGTATAGCATTTACGACTATCTTAGCGCTAACAGAGCTGTGAAAATCTAGGCCTAGCTCATTACCCTGTGGGCTTGAACACGCTTGTCTCTCTTCCGAACGTATGCCACGAGAGCCTGAAACAAAAATCATATTATTTATACCCACGGGAGCAAAAGTTGTATAACTTTTCAAACTATGTTGAACACAAAAATAGTCATGTGTCATGACTATTTTGGGTCTATTTTCATGAAACTGTGCATTTAGTCTTTCCTGCAAAATATATCTTCCATAATATTCCTGATGCCCTACTTCACCGTATGATAGTAAATCATCAAGACTGAGTGAGTGAGTGAGTAAGAATGGTTTTATGCTACTTTTAGCAACATTCCAGCAATATCACGACACCAGAAATGGGCTTCACACATTGTACCCATGTGGCGAATCGAACCCGGGTCTCCAGCGTGACGAGCGGTTGCCTTAACCAGAGGCTACCCCACCGCTCCTCATCAAGACTGGATCAGACAAACCTGTGGTTGATGTCATGAATACCATCTAACTGACTGACGTACTGAGTTTGGTTTTACGCCATGTGGCGTGGCGTGGCGTGGCGTGGCGTGGCATGGCGTGGCGTGGGGTGGGGTGTGGCATGGGGCGATGCGATGCGAGGCGAGTGAGTTTAGTTTTACACAGCTTTTAGCAATATTCCAGCAACATCACGGCGGGGGACACCAGAAATGGGCTTCACTCATTGTACCCATGTGGGGATTCGAACCCGGGTCTTCGGCGTGACGAGCCAACGCTTTAACCATTAGGCTACCCCACCGCCCGAGTACCATCTAACACTGATGAAGCATGATGACACTGTGACAACTTACAAACCGTTTGGGGCCACACTGGCATCGTCATCTTCACTCCCCAACATGACAAAATGTACAATGTCATACCATATTTGAGGTTTTACATCCACAAACAGGGGCAATGCTGAAGGGCTTCAAGTTGGTTATGTGAAATGGGATTGAACACATTCAAGGACATTACACTCATGCTGAGAAATGCATGCATGTGTGTATGCTTGTGCTTGTGCGTGTTCACACAAACATGTGTAAGGTCTAACAGCGATAGTCCATTGAGCAACCACATGATATGGACTATGAGCTGATCAGTCCTTGTTTTATTCCTTTAATGTTTAAGGAACATTTTGTGGTATATGATGGCTAGAGATCAAGCCACCAACCTAACAACAGAAAAGTGATCCATGATATGTGAGGTGAGGTGAAATTGGGTTTAACCTCGTGCTTGAGAATATTTCGCTCATATGACGACGTGCATGCGTGTGTATGTGGATGTGTCGGCTGCTTGTACTAGCCCAGACTTAAGCTGGTTTTATAGTGCTAGCCCACTGAGATACCATGCCACAGTGAAGCATGAATACCCCACTCAGACACATTATACTGACTCCGAGCCGACCAGTCCTTGTTGTACCCATTAATGCCGTACCATACCATATTTTAACGTCTTTTGGTATGACGCTGTCGGGGATCGAACCCGCGACCATCCGCTCTCCGGGCGGACGCTCTAACCACTACACCACGGAGGCGGTCGATCCATGATATGTACTAGAATGAGTGCTTAGTGGAATGTGGCAAACTGACGTTAAGCACAGTTACAAAAGGCTTCCCAGACTGGAACTAAGAAAGCCATTCGCCCTCACTCACTCAATTATCCTTTTCTCACAAGTGAGCCGCCATATAGCTGGAATATTGCTGAGTGCGGCGTAAAACTAAACTCACTCACTCACTCTCACAAGTGACAACAGATCCTCTACATTACTCTTGAGTGAGTTTAGTTTTACGCCGCACTCAGCAATATTCCAGCTATATGGCAGTATTAGTCTTGAAGAAATGGCAGCTTTAGTTACACTGCCATAGTTTTCTCCATCCTTAATATCATAGAGGTATCAAATATGTCCTCATTTCTCACCCTGATTTCTTCATTCCTTTCCTTCTTGGCTGCATCCCTCTGTTTCTTGTTCTCCGCCTCCATCTTGCGTCGAGTCCATCTGTCGGGCGCCTCACGAGTATCATACTTTTCCACCCACACATAGGACTTGGCTGTACAGTAGGAGGTCCAGAAACCATAGAAGGGATGAACAATCTGGGAACATTCATTAAATGGGGATGGTTTACATAACAACACTACATGATGGTTCAAAATGCTGAAAACTTGGTAAGACTACAGAATACCAGATACCTTACATCATCTTTGAAAGCATGCGAGTTTACTTGGTTGGGGTAGGGTTAAAGGTTAGGGTTAGAGTAGAATACCAGATAGGGGTTAGGGTAGGGTTAGTTAGGGGTAGGGTTAGGTAGGGGTAGGGTAGGGTTAGGGGGGTAGGGTAGGGGTAGGGGTAGGGGAGTAGGGTTAGGGTTAGGGTAGGGGTAGGGGGTAGGGTAGGGTAGGGGTAGGGTAGGGTTTAGGGGTAGGGTAGGGGTTTTGGGGTAGGGTTAGGGTTTAGGTTAGGGTCAGGGTCAGGGTCAGGGTAAGGTTTAGGGTTAGCGTTAGGGTGACGTGATACTAAACAATATAAAAGGTATCCGGTATTCTGTAGGTGTACTGAAAACTTTAATGACCTGGTAAATCAGATGACTACAAATAAACATATACAAAATAAAGTATCTACTATACAATACCTAAGAAGTGTACATGGCCATTTGGAAATAGACATGTTCACTGATGATAAAACAAATGGTCAAAGGGAGATTACTATGCGGACAATTGCTAAGAGTGATTTTGCCCGAGTAACTGTTTCAAATAAAAAATATTTTAGGGTAGTTTTTGAAATATAGAAAAGCTATTACAAATATTTTACAGCAATAATACAATAATCAAATGTCAAGGAGTTATCCCCCCTCATACCTCTTCATAGGAACTTTCCGAGTTCCCAAATTCTGGAATCTCGTAGTCGCTGTCCTTGTCTTCCATGAAGGGATAATCCTCCTCTGCCAGAGTGTGGAACACTTTTCTGTACACTGCGTAGAATCCCTGCACAGGTATACGGAGGAGTACAGTGACAGAAGTATAAAATATAGAAATAGGTATAGTGACAAGTACAGAGACCGGTATAAGTACTGGGACATGTGTATACATCATGAAAGTTGTGTATGGTTAAAAAGCAGGTTTCTTAAATCAAACTTGATAGGTCTCAGAATTGGCCCTAGTCCTTTTCCTACCTTTATGTCAGTGCACTTACCAAACCATTCTATTTGATTGGACAATACTCCATGTACTGAATCATTTACTAATATAATGAATAAAGCCTGTGACACAATGCCTACTGTCAGTGTTAAATTCAGAGAGACCTGGCATCTTCATCGAGTTATCATAGTTACCTCAGCTTCATCTCCAAAACCTTTGTAGCAGGCCGAGTTGAAGTACTGGAACACATCCAGGGAGTTGTCCTCATACTTGTCGCCACGACCTAAGCCTGTAGCCAGACATCACACTAGTTCACACAGAGTGACTTCATTCTGATATATACACAACGATTGAGTTGGATTTTATGCCACTTTTAGCAATATTCCAGCAATATCATGGTGGGGACACCAGAAATGGGTTTCACACTTTGTACCCATGTGGGGAATCAAACCTGGTCCTTTGACGTGACCAGGTTTTAACATTTATATATTAACCATTAGGCTACCCCACCACTTCATGTACAAAAGAGACAAACGATCGACATCCAAGTACTCCATCAAAGAATATTTTTCTCCGTAACATTGGTTTCCAAATCAGGATTTTCTTATTGTGTGACCACAATGACAAAGCATCTATGAAACTAAACCATGTAATCAAGACTTGAAAAGAATCCTCAAAATCGGTGATGACAGATTCAAACTAGCCTTGTGCAAGAAACAGTTTCATTTGGCCAGGCCAATTTTATTTCTTGTTTCATGGATTTTCGTCCTCATAAAACCTAAAGGCAGAAGGGAATTTTTTTTTTTTAATCATCAGTCAAAGCAAAATCCCACATCAGTTTCCATGTTAACTCTTTTAGTTTGTTTATATCAACTAAATATATAAGATGAGTGAGTTTAGGTTTCACGTTCATTTCAAAGAGTATTCACTTAATTTTTCTTATTCTTGAAAAAATATGACTGGCAGATCAGTAAAACAAGAAATAAAATTGGTCTCGCCTTATATACAAATAATAAAGTGTATCATATTACATAAAGTCAAGAATTCAGGGGGTGAATGTCTGCCAGCATGTTAGAACGACAAGTCCTAATATTTTTATCAAACTTTCAAAACACGGTGGTAATTAATCTGATATCATCTGAGGCGATTATTCGTGTTATCAAGAGCAGAAGTGTGTGCCTCACCTCCCCTCAGGATGGCCTCCCTGTGCTTATCATACCACGCCCTCTCCTGGGAGTCACTGAGGACCTCATAGGCCTGCTGCACCAGCCGGAACTCCCTCGTGGCCTCCTCCACATTGTCAGGGTTCTTGTCTGAAACACAAACATGTTGTCATCAACAAACTCCAGTCTAAGTAAACTTAGGCTCAGTATTATTCGTTACACTGCTATACTGAGTCTAACAGACCCTTGAGAAAGTCGCGTCAGCTAACCTTTGAGCGACCTATGACCGTCTAACGTGGGACAGCCGAACGGATTTAACCAATCAGACAACGACTACTTGTTAGGGTTCGGCGGGACTTACAAAACATTTTTTGGATTTTCTCTTCCCTGGTCGCTGACATTGATTTATCAACAAACGAAAATCCGCATAAAACACAGATATTTGACCTGCAGCATATACTCTTATGGGTTTCTAATGTTATGGTTATTATTTGCTTATATTTTCGCAAGATGACATCCTTGAATATTGACAAAAACGCTATTTTCAGCGACTGTTTACTCCCTGCGTGTATCACTCGGAAGCGATCATGCGGAAAATAGCATTCGAGTTTTGGAGGTAAAGGTTCAAACGGTATGTGCGAATGTTAACTTAGCGCGATTTGGTAAGCTGTGTTCTGATTGGTCAGTCAAAAAGGTTAGCTGATGCAACCTCCTACTAGGTTTTGTTAGACTCCAGTATAGCAGTGTAACGAAATAATACTGAGCCTAAGTCATCAACACAGACTCCACATTGTCAGGGTTCTTGTCTGAAACACAAACATGTTGTCATCAACACAGGCTCCACATTGTCAGGGTTCTTGTCTGAAACACAAACATGTTGTCATCAACACAGGCTCCACATTGTCAGGGTTCTTGTCTGAAACACAAACATGTTGTCATCAACACAGGCTCCACATTGTCAGGGTTCTTGTCTGAAACACAAACATGTTGTCATCAACACAGGCTCTACATTGTCAGGGTTCTTGTCTGAAACACAAACATGTTGTCATCAACACAGACTCCACATTGTCAGGGTTCTTGTCTGAAACACAAACATGTTGTCATCAACACAGGCTCCACATTGTCAGGGTTCTTGTCTGAAACACAAACATGTTGTCATCAACACAGACTCCACATTGTCAGGGTTCTTGTCTGAAACACAAACATGTTGTCATCAACACAGGCTCCACATTGTCAGGGTTCTTGTCTGAAACACAAACATGTTGTCATCAACGCAGGCTCCACATTGTCAGGGTTCTTGTCAGAAACACAAACATGTTGTCATCAACATGGACTCCTACTACTGTACCCCACATGGGTACAATATGTGAAGCTCATTTCTGGTGTCCCCCGCTGTGATGTTGCTGGAATATTGCTAAAAGCGGCGTAAAACCACATTCACTCACTCACTCAGTCAGTCACTCACTCCTACTACTGTAAGAGATCTTGTCATAAAACAGACATTGTCATCACCAGTCTTCTCAAATTGTCTGGGTTTGGGTCTGGAAACAAAGGTTGTTTTCACTAAAAACTCCTCAAATTGTCAGCGTACTTGTCTAAAAACAAGCGTCATTACTTTTGATTCCTCATATTGTGAGAGCTCTTGTCCGAAATAAATGTCATCACTAATTACTCCTCACATTATAGTCTATGAATGGTGTGTAGAAGTGATACAAATAAAGGGAGAACATTTAGGAGATCTTTATTTCTAACACTACAATGGAAAAGCAAGGAAAAAATATTTTAAGAGAACAAAGATATTTTGAGTCAAGATGGCATTCTTCAAACTGTAAACATCTACACAAAATTCATCAGTCTTCAACCATATTTCACATTACACTGTGTAGAACTTTCCGAACATAGCTACTGGCTGCTGATCAGTTATCCACACATTACAGTTATCGCCAATACATGAGTATGACACGTGCGCAGTTCCGGTCAATTACAGTTCCGGTATTTTTCCCCACGGTATTTGACAACAATAAAGGACAGCAAAAGAAAATTCTTCACAGTAAGTAACAGAAGAGAAAAAAATAAAGATGAAGTTATGAACCTTATACAAAATTTTAACTTAGTTGGGGGGATGTCACACGATCTATATACAATGTAATAGCAAGTTCAAGTTCACAAAAGTCATTAATTGTTTCATTCCCTATCAATCTACTGTTAACAACACTCAAGTAGTCACACAATTAATTATTCAAGGTTACTTTAAACATATATTATTTCACGAATGATATGAGAAATTCTGAAATAGCGATAACTGTTACAGTTACTTGTGAGAAAACATCTATTTATACTGCCATGATTCCCTTCCACCGTGTTGTATAAAAACACGATTGGCGCAGCAATGAATGGGCTGGACACATCGGTGAATAGCTAATTAAGTATCAATTATTTCTGTTTCATTAATTTAACGAAAGGCATAGTAATTTTGTAAATACTGCTAAAATATGGTGATAACTGTTCGGCAGCCCGTACCATATGTTTGCCTGATAAGTCTGAAGTTCCATATGTTCAAAAAATATTATACAGTGTTTTTATATTTTTTTATGAAAGAAAAGCCCTTTTATATTTTCTGTCATTATTTTTATAGTAAATTACAAAGCTGTTGACATCGTAATTCGTTTGGCAATACAAAGGGATCTGACTATGGATATTCACCTCGAACACAACACCCTGTTCGTTCTGACTTACAAATAAACACTCCATCGAAGCACGTGTACGCAAAATATAAACAAAACAGTCAAAATGTACATACCTGGGTGATATTTCAAGGCTAATTTCCTGTACGCCTTCTTGAGATCCTCGTTATTTGCATCTCGCGGGACATTTAGAACCTCGTAATGACACTTTATTGACGATGACATGTTGCCCCATATGCTAGACGACCGTTACCTTCAGTTGTCAATCAATTATTTCGCACATTGCACAAGCACATGTTGTGTTTTGATGGCACTCTTCTGTGAAGAAGTCGAGTTCGTATAATTAAAGGGGAGTAACTTTTATGTGACTTAAACGGTATTATGTCCCTTTGACCATTAGCTGTTTTGTGTGCCTTGCTTACGGGATTACAAAACAGCATGCAATGCAATGTTAGTTTTAACGTATAACGGTTTCTAAAATATACATAGTCTGGGTCGATAAATTTTTTGTACCGAATAATGTTCCTCTCCAAAAGCAATGAATTTTATCTTTTACAAGCTGCTGCGATGGCACGGTGTAGACACACCTTATGGAAAACAGCCATAGCGACTTTTGGGTATGGATCCTAATACAGTTGACTAGTAAATACCAATACCTATACCGAATCGTCGCTATAGCACCATATTAGGGAGGTCACTATCAATAAACTGAGTCTACGTCATAATGATTTGTCGAACAAAAATATAGGTTTGGTATGCAATGACTGTCACTATTTAAATAAAATACACGCGTTTAAAAAAGTGAGTGAGTGAGTTTAGTTTTACGCCACTTTCAGCACTATTCCAGCAATATCATGGCGGGGAACACGTTTAAAAAGACTTACGGATAATACAGGTGAAACAGTTAACAGAACATATTTAGGATAGATAGATGTAGAAGATACAGGTTATTGTATCTTTTTGAGATGATATACATATCAACCACCCTTACAAAAAATTCTTTCAAATAGAAAAGAAATGAAATCCAAAATAAATGTTAATTTACAAATAATGTTATCTGTTTATTGCTAATGCGCGCGCACATTCACACCTGTTAAAAATTACAATGGGGTTGTTAATTGTTGGTTTGGGACGCGTTATCGAGCGCAGCCATTTTGCAGTTGATTGATTGCAATATGCACGTGTTGATATCCGTTAGTTCTTTCACTTGACGTGACATTTACAATAAGCCACCTGGCCATTACAAAGGATTTCGAGTGGAATTTACCGGTTACGCAAGAAGCGGTCGATATTCAACGCATGCCAAGTTATTTGTTAATTAACGTGAAACAAGCAGAGAACATGTGCAGTGGAGGAAAATCAGAAATCATTTCAGTACAATGGGTACTGTCAGTGACAATTGTTTAAATAGCAAGTATATGTTGGATAAATCTATTATTTCCCACGAGAACGTAAAAACATCCGTTACCGTTAACATTTGGTCCTTTGAAGACTTAAGATAAATTGATATTACATCCTTCGCTCAACACACTTTAATTTGTTATTTCGTTTATTAATTAATTAATACACACAGCTGAACGTGTATAAGTTCGTTCTGTTATCGTTCGATAATACCCAAATCATGAAGTTGTAAATGGTTACATGCATAAACTATTCGCAAAATCATAATGTATTTCCCTTGAAATATGAATACATTTACTTAGGCAATTCGCCCAAAATATTGTTTGTGCACATTTAAATAATTAAGAACATTCATCCTTACACTGCATTTCCATTTGCAATAACACAATAATAAGCAACCAGTTTCAAGCTATTGGGTACATTAACAATTCAGATTACAACGTGCAATGGCATGTCAATCAATAAAAATGAATCGAATGATTTTCAGGAAGAGCTCGATCTAATTTTGACCTAATTCGCATGTGACAGATGCGTTGATTGGATGATAGTGGTAATGATTTCAAGAGAAAGTTCCAAAGCTGACGACCAATCAAATTGCTCGACTCAAATTACATGGAGGGGACTGACTAACCCAGGGCGTATGAATCTCGCACCTTGCACCACTGTTTTGATTTTATTTATGTTCCTGTAATGTTCTCAGTAGTAGTGGTAGTTGATAAGTTACTGCTATATCAATAGCTCTGCGGATTAAGTGTTAAATATTCTTCTTTGATAACACGATATGCACTTTCTTTACGCCGAACCTTTTCCGGCGGAAGTACATTTAAAGGTAGTTGTTCGGCGCCGGCTGAGATCATCACGAATATTTCTGAATAATGTCAATGAGATCGTCTCCCCTTGCGGATAAATTACGAGGATGGCATAGGACCACGGCCGGGTGTAAGGGCTGAGAACGTCCATCATTTCACTTGGATTACCGTTTTCGTTTGGCTACACAATTTTATAAAAGATGGGAAACTGTTTCGGTGGTTCCGATCACTCCCCAGCACCCAGAACCAACAATGGAGGAGTGGAAACCCCTCAACGCACGAAACCAGCGTCGGAAAATGGTGCTGTGAGCGTGTCGAGCACTGGGGGATCAATTGTGACAAACGTGAACCAGTCGGCAGCATCTCCGATTGCACAGTCTCCAAAACATCAGTCAGAACAATCGTTAGGGGAGCCTCTATCCTCCAGTAAAATATTTGTTGCATTGTACGACTACGATGCAAGGACTGATGAGGATTTGAGTTTTAGGAAAGGAGAACACTTAGAAATTCTAGATGATACCCAAGGGGACTGGTGGAATGCTAGATCCAAGATTACTAAAAACAAGGGATATATACCGTCCAATTATGTGGCCAAGTTAAAGAGTTTAGAATCAGAACCGTAAGTATGATCACTTATTATCAGCCGCCCTTGCAATATAACTGAATGAGGTCAGATGAGATGTGTATATTAAAAGGGTGTGTTCAACAACAGCTATAGTCAGCCACTATGATAACTATGCTGATTGTTAACAACAGTATATCCTCTTAAATATCACTGAATAAAGGTCAGTTAAGTATAAATGCCACATGGATAACAATTAATCTCTGTGTCATCTTGTTGGAAAATCCATTATGTTTATCATAGCCAAGTGACTGATGCAGTGGGGTGTAGTTGTGGTTGGTTGTTCGCGCCTTTGACAGATGGGCATCTGACTGTATGACTGTCGTTTGCTAATGTATGTTTGTTATACAATGCTTATGCAGGTGGTATGACTCACTGTAATGTCATCTGTTGTCCAGTAACCAAGAGTGTTCATGAGGGAACAACACAGATGTCCATATTAATGTTGTGTTTAAAACTGGAATCTAAGGCAGGATGACAAAATAAATAATGGGCCTATCAAATTTCTCTCACATGACAATATTTCAGTTTACAGTCTCTTAGGGGAACGAGTGATGACAAATCATTATTGTTGACAGTTGCAGCTTATCTTGGTTGCATAATTATGTTAACAGTATTACTTATTGATGTGATAAACTTTATCCTTCATGCGTGTAAGTGAAGTCTGGTGTCATGGTAGTTTGAGTAAAGTCAACTTATTAATATGTTAAGAAACAGTCTTTGGATGTTATCAGGGTTGGTTTCTGACAGAGGTTGGAGCTGACTCAGTTTTTTGTGACTGGTCCTTGTGATGATGCATTGACTGCAAAATACTTGACATGGTAAAATTGGTCGGTGTCCATTCTAATTTTTGGTTAATAGTAAGGGAGGGTTAGCAAGAGCCCCATGAACACAATGTGCTATGTGACTCTGGTGCCAGTTTTGGCTGCATGAAATCAGATGTTTTCTCATCTAATAAGATGTTATGATCCGAACACTGGCAAAACACACAGGCCATAACTGGCATGAGTGTTTCCTTAGCCATTGTCAACATTCTGTATTTTCACCCATGACAAAGGTGTTGTCAAAATTATGAATATTTTGTCAAGTTACGCCATGACACAACATGCACATCATTGTGATATTTTAGCAACAATAAGGAAACCATAGGCCGAGGTTCAGTTTTTAAAAGGGATTGCAGTCTCAGAAGGAAGATAGTTGGAGACAGCTAGGTTGAACACTAAGGCAATCCTTTTCCTGGTTGATCTTGAGAAATGAGTCTTTTGGTTAAATTTAGGTTTATTTTGTTTGTAATTGAAGTTCAGTTCAGAAATAGTAACAAGTGAAGCATTACACAAGGAAACAAAACATCTGAATGTATCTCATGTGTGCCATTAATTTTATTGATTATTGTAGTAAGTGATATGTACAACCATAATCATGAGACGGTAGTATTACAATGACTCTGAATCAGTTTATTGTATGTGTTACTAAATATCAAGATGACATATTAGTTGTCTTGTTTATGACATCCAGTGTGCAAAATTTACGCTGGTCCTGTGGTCCCTGGCTAGTTAAAATTCATCAGGACGACTAATGATAAATTTGCAGTGGTCCTGGTGGCCAGTGAATTTTTAAGGTAAATCTAGGAAAGCAGGGATTTACTGGACGCGAATTCCTGCATCCTATATGCATAAAAATTGACAATGGACGCAACGAAAGATATTGAGATATGTTATAGGTTTGTACAGCAGAAAAGTATATATGATAACAGTTGTAGTGTTCTAGAAATTATGGAATACTGCGTTTCCTTTTAGTTTGTTTAGAATATAAGCGCTTAAAGTGTAGTAGTAGTAGTAATAGTATAATAGTAGTCTCTCTCACAGTCCCAGAAACCCTTATTTTCCCTAATGCCTAGTTCTCCCTGCAATGCTAAATCCCTATATGATGCAAATCTAGATTTCCTCAGGTTCTGAATCTCCCATCTCCCTGGGGCTCCTTTTCAATTTAAATGGGTTTATTTGTTACTATCAAAATAATTTATATTCAGAGACGAAGCGTTAGTCTAGGTATGATAGGTTCCCAGCTGCCTACAGCTGTATGACAATGAAAGGACTCAACAAATCGAGTGGTCAGACATGCCCTGGTGGCCAGATCTAATTGATTGTGTGGAACAGACATGATTATATACAGGCTGCCATCACATAGCTGAAATATGACTGAATCCACCATTTAACTACAAAAAAACAAACAAATAATCTGGACACAGTAAAGCTCATACCATCTAAAACCAGGGGTAGAAATAACTTTAAAATTGCTAGTGTACTCCGTACAGTGACACATGTAAAATCACTTGCCCTGATAATTTTTCCACTATACTGGCTCATTTTCTTGTTGATTTCTTTTAAATAAGCAACATAATTGACATTGGAAAGTCAACTGAACACTGGTTCAGCATGATATACAAATTTGCTTGCCCAACAGAAAAAAACCCACTGGACTGGGACATCAGGCAATGGGTTATTTCCACCCCTGTAAAACACTAAAATGAACTTACATCTGTAAGTAGGTATGTACAAAGAGAGGTGACGACAGGTTCATAAGGAAGTGTGACTAGTCCATGTAGCAGTAGTGACCATGGTGACATACAGTTCAAAGTACTACACACTAGTACTGATGTAATCAACCCACACACATCAGCTAATCCCCGCTCCCCATTATAGAATTAGACATGCATAGTTGTGGGGGACATTCAACTCAGCATAATGACAAACCTAGCCATGCTTACAAATTTCCTTCTGTTATAATGAAAATAGAACAGTTGACCTAAATGTCTCATATTTGGGTTGGTCACATTAACTCGGCTTTTGAATGAGAGAAAAGGTGTGTCACCACTTTAAATAGGTGAAATCGTGATGAGTACGAGGTATTTCTCAATCTAATCTGGTATTTATTATTTAGATGATGTGGTTTTTGATGTGTTAAGTCATATATTATTTGAGAAGCATCACCCAAATAACATGTTTGCAATCAGTTACCTAGTCAGTCCCACAGAGCCACATTATTTTCCCTACAACCCTCCCTGCAATGCTAAGCCATAAATGAAGCAAGTCTAGATTTCCTCAGGTTCAGGAATCTCCCAACTCACTGGGGCTCCTTTTCAATTAAAATGGGTTTATTTGTTACAATCATAATTATATATGTTCTGATAATCAGAGACTAAGCGTTAGTCTATTAGTTACCCTATAAATCAGAATCCTTTAGTTTGAATATTTTGACCAAATCCTTATTTGGGATTTTCAGTGTGTGTTCATGTTTTGCAGTTGAAAGTTTATCATGTTTATTGACAGAAAATAACTAGAAGTATAACATAGTAACAATACAGCAAGGTTGCCATATGATATCCCGATATGGGTGTGATACGAATCGTATCCTCATACAGTACTTCTGTGTTACAAGTTCAAGCGAATAATATCCTGATACAGTACTTCTGTTTTACAAGTTCAAGCGAATAATATCCTCATACAGTACTTCTGTTTTACAAGTTCAAGCGAATAATATCCTGATGCAGTACTTCTATGTCAGAAGTTTGTATTCTCTTCCTTTTCGCAGGTAAATCACACCCATGAATCAGTTGTTTTCCAAATTTCAAATAGCAAAGGTGGGATATGGTACGGGGAGATTAACTCTGAGAAATATATTTAGGAGCACTGCAGTTTCTTGTATTTATTTCCAACCCAGAAATGCTAGAGAATCTGGATAAACTGATTCTTGAACAGTTTCTGTCATTATTCAAGTTTTTACATCTATATTACTTGTCATATAATAAATGCAAGTTCTTTGCAATACAGGAGTTATACATCAATGTATTGATGACAATCTTCACCAAGATTTTCAAGAAACATGATCAGTCCATTATGTTTTTAAATCGAATTTTGAAAATGAATATGTTTGGATATGATTATTGGTTTACAAATCAGTCAGTTCATCAGTATACTGCAATTCTAGGCACATGCCTGTCAGAAATAAACATGCTTTGTGCATACCATAAAGATTAGAGATATAGTAAGTGTTAAATTATTTTGTTATGTGCAAGAATAAAGGAATATTGCATCTTACCTAAGTAGTGTGCTTAGGATATACTATAAACAAGGAAAACACATATTGGATTTGTTACTGTCCATGGAAGTAAAACCAAGTTTTTGTAGAATAGAAATGATTTTTAACCTTTATAATATAGCAGAAATAGTGAGTGAATGAGTTAAGATTTAGAGTCACATCGGCAATATTTCAGCCATATCGTGACTTCGAAAAGTTAGAAATTAATTATGAATTAATAATAAATGCAACTGAATTATAAAAACCTGTCAACGGAGGACAGTAAAATAACTACATTATCACAGGTGGAGAATTAATACTAGTAACTGTAAAATTAAACAAACTTTTATGGACAATACAATATAAAAAACGGGCTGGAGATCACCAGCAACTGAAATACATAAATTACGAGGGTTGAAGACCAGTTTCTGATGATTATGGGAGGAATTTATACAGGATTCTACTTAATTGCTGCAATTTTACAAATATTTGCTGCAGACTTAACATCAAATGCTCAATATCGGCCTTTGAATGTGGTTAAATATCTGCCTGCAAAGACAGGTCATTAATTGTGCAGATATGTATCAGTTCACTTAGATTAGTGATCTGTCGCTGTAGTTCAGTCTGCCTACAGTGTTCTGTCATACTTATGATCAATTATACATGAATACAACAGATGGTGTTAAAGCTCCAGGGCTGTTTCTATTCTTACATGGTATATGGTGTCGGACTTCATAGGTGAAGTTTATTGCTCTTCTTCTCATTTAACATGCTTGGTTACGATTATTTACAAATGCTTGAAGGATTTCTTTCATTGAATATTGTCATTAGGTTGTGCATCAAATTAAATCCAGATCAGATTGAGAGTGAGTATGCATTTGAAGAAGATGGTATGAATCAAAACATCTGTGAAACTCATG